TGCCATCACCTCTCCTTGAGTGCATTTGGGCTAACTTGTTTGAGATCTGCTGCTCATCCAGTGCACGAGCATTTCCCTGTCCATTCCCTCTGCGTTTCCCTGTGGATCAGAAGGTGTTGTGGGGCAGGAGCTGTGCTGAGCCTACACATGTCCAGCTGTCCCCAGACCTGCCCTGGGGTGACCGTGAGGGCAGACACAGCTCTTCCCATCCCAGGGGATGTTGTGCAGTCCACACTCCCCACAGACCTGCAGCAGGAGGGATGTGAGGCCATGCAGGGCAGGGAAGGACCAACCCACCCAAATTTCTTCCCTATTTTTGTCTCTCTCCTGGCCAGCATGTTCCCGTGGGAGTTAATTTAATTGCCACCTTCCTCCCTGCAGCTCTGTGGTTGTGTGAGACCTTGTGCAGGGTAATTAGGAGTGTGAAGTGGACAGGGCAGAAAGGAGCCTTGTCTCCTGCACACTGCCCATCCACACGGATCCCTGCAGCCAGAGCTGCTGTTTTCCCCCAGATCTCGGGGGCTCCACAGGCTGTCCTTGTGCTCAGCCCCTCGGGAATGGGAGGGAGCAAGGAATATGTTGGAGGCAGTGCAGGGATCAGCTGGGGCTCCCCGAGCAGCTGCCAGTCCTTCCTCTGCTGCAGCACCTGATTTTCCAGCTCTTTTTCCCAGTGTAAATCGCTGACCTGCAGGGATCTGGTGATGATCCCCTCCAGTCACTGGAGTCTGAGCTGTTGAGTTTGAAGCCCTGAGCATCTCAGAAATCAGAGCTTGGATCCCTTCCCAGGGACTGCACAGGACCATCACCCTCTGTGCTCTGCACTGGCCACCTCTGGCTCAAAGCTTCATCCAGAGCTCCTCAGCCACTGGGGTTTCATGGCTTTAACAGGTGTTTTAAATTGGGCCAAATGCCACCAGGTCTGACTGGTCCAGGCTGGGACAGGGCAGAGGCTGTGGCTGAGCAATATGTGGGTATGATTCACCCACACACCACACCTGTGGGTAGGTGACAGCCTGCTCTCCTCACCACTCTGCTTTGCCCTGGGCTTTCCAGAGGCTTGGGAAGGAGTTTTTCTTCTGGGCTCACGTGCTCACACTCTGCTTGGGATTTGGAGCCAACGCTGCAGTGCAAAGTTCAGCTGGAGCTGCTGGATCTCCCTTGGCTGAGCCCCAAAATTGCCTCACCTGTGAGAGCTGCGAGCAGGGCTCTGTGCTGGGGTGAGATTCCCTTCCCAGAATAGCTCACAGGAGCTCTGACACCCCAGGCTGGATCAGCACGCTGGGGACGACAGGGAGGGTGATCCTGTGGGAACCTGAGTGAGCATCACTGGCTGCAGCCCCTGGGCAGTGTGTCCAGGCTCCTGCTGACCCTGGGGTGCAGATGGGGCCTCAACTCTCCCAGTCACCCCTGTGAGCTCTGCCTGCCTTCTTCCCTGGCTCTGGCATGTGGGACCCTCATTAGAGTGAGGTAACAATTGTCCCAGGGCTCTGTTCCCCCACCCCCCACCCCTGGACCTCTTGTTATAGCCTGGGAAATTATGGGTCTCTGCTCTCCCTCCCTTCGCCCAGGCTATAATTTAGTTTTATATAAAGTGCAGTCCAGCCCCTGTTGTGCAAGAGGTTGCTATTCCCGGGGCTGGGGAGAGGGATGGGGCAGCAAGGAGAGGGCTCACAGTGAGTGAGGGAATGCAGCATTGCACTGTGCACCCCCAGACACCCTCCAGCCCCCCTGGACACCCCACAATGCCCTTGGAAACCCGTTATGGGGTACAGCCAGCTGGCAGCCCACAGTGCTGGCACTGCTGGAGGTGATTCTGCCTTCTCCTGGGTTTCTGCAAAGGGGTGTGTGGCATCGGAATTTATCCCATGAGGAAGAACTCGCCTTGTTTCAGGCTTTACTTGCCCCACCAAGGGGTTCTGCAGGGGCTGCTGCTGTCCCCGAGCGCGGGAAGATGAGGGGAGGGGGCAGCCAGCTCCTGCAGGGGAGACAGTGGCCCTTTCATGGGAAGGGGGATGAAAAAATCCAGCTTGAACCGCTGAGTGTAACCAGATCCCTTGGCTTTTTGGAGAAGGAATGTGGGACCTCAGGAGGGGTTTTGGGATGGTGCTGCTGAGCTGCTGGCGCTGCAGCTGGGTGAGCAGCTGCAGAGCGGTGCAGCCCTGATGCCCATCCTGAGCAGCCAGAAATCCCTCGTAGTGCTCCAGCTCTTCCCCCAGCTGTGCTCTCTGTGCCTGAAGTCAGAGCCCCAAGGCCCCAGCAGTGCTGAGGGCAGTGTCTGGGGATGTGCTGTGGGTCAGTGGTGTGGGTGACCTCGGGGTGCTCAGCTCCAACCCTGTTTCTCTCGCAGAGCCTGACGAGCCCTCGCGCCCCTCGCCGAGGCCAATCCCAGCGGTGCCATCGGCAGAGCCACGTCTGCCTGCTCGTCCCACGGTGCCAAAGAAGGAGAAACCCCTGGAAGATGAAGAGTGCCCCAAAGTCCTGACGAAGGGCCCCTGGGCTGAGCTCGCAGGAGCTCCCGAAGCTGTGACATGTGAGTGTTTCCCCTGCAGCTCCTGACACCTCTGGCTGCCTGTGCTTTAGGCTGCTGCCCTCCCAGCAGGACGAGGGGTCATTCAGGGCAGAGGTGGGAATCTGTCTCCTCCTTGCTTTGCTCCTTCCCACATCAAAGCAAAAGGCTTAAACCGAGTGTGAGTCACCTGGAGTGGGGAAAGTGCAGAGTGACATCCACGGTGGCTCTCATCCTTGGGACCCACTGCAGGCAGAGGGGTAGGGTGGGCAGCTGGAGGAGCTCCTGGTGGTGTTGGAGTCCTCTGAAATGCCATGGTAGGAAAAGGGGCCTGTCCCTGAGGGAAGGAGCTGGTGGCTGTATGCAGCATCCCCCAAAGCCTCAGCGGGAGAGAGGAGACCCCTGGCAGAACTGCTCTGTGGGCACAGCCATGGGGTGGGAGAGCAACAGCTTTTGCTGGAGCAAAGGGAGAGGCTTCCCACTGGGACAGCTCTTGCCTCGGCGAGTCCAGGGCAGGGGTGAGGCTGGTGCAAAGCCTGGCCGAGCCAGGCTGTCTGCACAGAGGAGCTGGTTCTGCTGGAGGCAGTGGCCAAGCCAGGCAGCACCTCCCAAACCTGCTGCCACAGACCTGCCAGTGCCCTGTGGGAACACTGCACTGGGGCAGAGGTGGGGCCAGGGTGCCCTTGCTGCATTTCCCACTGCAGGGGTGGGAGAACAGAGCTGGCAGAAGTGGGAGGCTTTGGGCCAGGGTCTCAGAGTTACTCTGCCCATCCTTTCCTTGGCCCCCCAGCCTGAATCTGAGGGTTTCACTCCCAGGTTGCCCCTTAGGCACAACCATTCCCCTTTTGCTGGATGTGAGCATGCAGCTTTCCCTGCCAAGGGGCATAAAGTGGATGGATGCTCCCCAGTGGGATGAGGGAGGGTGGGAAGGAGGTTGCACCCCCCAAGAGCAGTCAGACAGGGAGGGAAGGGACAGCAAAACCGGGTGCTCCTGGCGGCGTACGTGGAGCGAGGAGAGCGCACGTTTGCTCCAGCAGAGCTCGAGCCCTCGTGGAGCATCTGGGAGCTGGGCTGGCTGCCCACAGACATTCTGCACCTCTGAGTCACCACGCAGCCTGCTGCACCCTGCACATGGCCCCGAGAGCCCCTTCCCCTGCCCAGTCCCCTGCAGCCACCCCGGGCTGGGGGGACATGGTCATCCTCATCCTGGGCACTGGGCATAGGGACCTCTCCTGGGCCATGGGGGCACCTGAGCCCAGCTGGGAGCATCACCTTGGTGGGAAACCCAAAGTGAACACCCAGGAGGGATTTAGCTGTTGAAGAGTCAAAGGCTGGTGCTGTCCCTCTGGTTTCCCACCCTGGTGCCAGGGGTGGATGTGCTGGGGGCTGCCAGGTGAGTACTGGGGAGTGCTGTACCCCTGAGCTCAGGCTGCAGGTGTCTCTTTTCAAGGAGCTTTGGGCTCCTGGGAGTTGAAGGTTCTCCTGAAGGCTCTCCTGAAAGATGGCAGCTGTTTTCCCTAACTTATAGGGGGACTCCTGGCTGCCTTTGGCTGCCACTCTCCGGAGCCAGAGCGTGATTTTGATTTACAAACAGTTTAATCTGAGGAATGCAGCGAAATGGAGAGAGCCAAGGCGAGCACGTTGCATCCTGCTGCGATCCCAGAGAACCCAGCTGCCCTCAGAGGCCGCTGGGGTGCTCAGGCTGGGTCTGTGTGGGTTCAGTCCCTGCCCATCAGAGCTCTGGGCAGCCCCAGGCACCACAGTCATCCTCAGTGCTGCTCGGTGCAGGCTCAGTGCACACACACTGGCACAGGCAAATGCTTGGGAAATTAACCCTCTAGGAGGTTACTTTAGGGAGGGGCCACAATTCCTCTTTTATCCAGGACCTGTTTCCCATTACTCCAGTGTGCCCTTCTCCCACCTCTCCTGATCCAGCCCACTCTTCCCGCTCAGCTCTGGTTATTTTAAGTTCCCTTCCCAGTGCACGTCAAAGACCAAACCCCCAGTTAAACCTCCCTCCGTGGTCCAAGCCCAGCTCAGCCTGGCAGAGCTGAGCCCTGGGACCATCCACTTGTGTTTTTCACCTCCATCTACGTTATTTTCCTGGGTGCAGGACAGGGACCGTCTGTGCCACTCCACCCCTGTGTCCTGCACAGAAGGCAGCTCCTGTTCCCTGGTGCCAGAGGTGCCTTTGCCCTCGAGCCTCTTGCCTGAATCATCCCTTGTTTACTGCCATGGGAGAGGAAAAGCAAAGTTTGGCCAAAACACCAACAGACAGGATTTTATTTCTGGCTTCCAGTGGCATTACTGTGGGGGATGATGGATGCTGGAACCCCCTCCCTTGTGTGGCTTCCAGTCCTCTCCCATGGATGCAGGGAGAGGACAGTGGCATGGGGACAGTGCAGGGCAGGAGTGAAGGGTAACATACTGCTCTGCCCCCAGGCCAGCCCCAGGTGCGACCAGCCCCCGGGCCCTGCACCCACCTGCTGCAGAACGGAGCTGGGAAGGGGCTGGATGCAGGTGGTGCCAACGGGGAGGCAGCGAACGGGCTCTGCCGGGCCCTCCCCAGCTCGCAGAAGCCTCACCGAAAGCTGCAGTCACACCACTCCATCAACAGCCAGAGCAGCAAGAAGAGCAAGGGCAGCTCCAAGTCAGCCTCTTCCCACATCCCTATTGAGGCACAAGAAGGTACCAGCTCTCCCTGGGGTGGGTGGGTGTTCCCTTTCCGGCTGTTTTCCACCCCCACATCCCTTGGGATCCCTCGTGTAGAATCCTTCCAGCCCACTGGGACCCCCAGATCTGGGCACCAGCCTTGCTCCCTCCTGGCAGCCTCTGCAGGGTGCTGAGCAGAGCCATCTCATGCCCTCCAGAATTGGACTCTTGAGGTCTGAGCATGTCCATGGCTGTTGAGGGAGGCCCTTGGTGTAGTCCCTGCCTCCCAACCCCTTTTCCCATCCCTTCCATTAGCTCCTGAGGGAAGATTGCCACCCTTTTTGTGCTCCCCAAGCATCCATCTGTGCCGGGTGCTCTCACCCAGCCGTGCCCGTCCCCCCACCCACTCTCTGTCCATTCCTCCACAGACTGCTGTGTCCACTGCATCCTCTCCTGCCTCTTCTGCGAGTTCCTGACCCTCTGCAACATCGTGCTG